CCACCAATTTGCAAGTCAGACGTTTGAATGCTGTGACGCGAAAGCTGATCAGCAGCCCGAAACGTATCACCTTCCCTCGGATGAAGCCGACGAATGAAGTTGACATCCATAGCGATTCGGGGTATCGGAAGCTTACCGGGGAGGAGGATGACGAGACCAAGGGCTACGGCATACGCGGGGCCAACGTACTACGGCGAGGAAACTCGCCTCAAGGCAAGTCCGTCGTTCACCTCTGTGACGGACTATGCAAATCACACCGATTACAGGTGAGGTCCAGTTATGCTGCGGAGGCACTTGCAGCCGCACATAACCTTGATGAGTGTTACCCTACGCTCATTACTCTCCACGAGCTTAAGGCAGGGGCTTTGACTCCACGACAACTACGAGACATGCGTGAAGTTGGAGGCCTTGCTATCAAAGTCTCTCTTACCATAGACGCTGAGTCCGTCTACAAATCTTTATCAAGCAGGGATCTCAAAATACCTACAGAACGGACTCTGCTTGGACATATCAGCTGGATACGTGAGCTCATGGATATAGGTATAGTACATAATGTGCAATGGTGTGATACTAGGGATATGACCGCAGATGGGCATACAAAGGGAAGCATCGATCGGGAGCTGCTTCTGGAAGTGATGTCAGGCACTCAGTCATTTAAGTATGACGTGAAGCAATTTGTTCCCTTTCGGGGTCCCGAGGACAGAGACAAACCTAAGTCTAATCAATTTTAGTCTGTCCTTGTTGCCCTCGCGGTCCAGTTTGCCAGCACGGGCGCCTACTATAAAGGCGCCCCTTTAGCTGCTCGGAAACGAGCCTTATATTTCACGCCTGGCAACGAGCCGGCTTCGTACAACTCAGGCTCTTTGCCTTAATACACATTTGCTTGGTGAGGTATGGCCTAATTTTGGCTCACCTCTAACTAAGCCGATAGCCCTTCATTGTTTGAAGGGGCTGTCCTGTATTTGCGTGAAATACTTTGCGAGGAAACTCGCCTTACAGTCTGGTGTTTGACCAGACTGTACGCACTGTTTTCTTTTCTTTGCAAACAGTCGTGCGCGCGATCTTTGCGTGCGACTATGCTCTCCGTCTCCTCCCCTCCCGACTTTAAGGGTAGCTCTTTGGGAGATGTTACAGTATCGGGAGCATAGCTCGCGCGCCGCTGCCTTGGGCTCAAGGCACGCGCGCCCTATTTGCCCGGATACCTGATGGTATTCGCTATTTGCATGGACATCTATTTGCCCGGACACTGCTTGTGTTCGCTATGTGCTGGAAAGATCATTACATCGATCTTATCCTATCTTACCCATCCACCCCTCATACTGTACCCTCACAGCAGAGCGATGGATGCAATTTGCCAGGCTATATGCCCTATTTGAGTTACCAGGCTCACTTTCGACTCAGTGTGCAACAGCTACATGGATGGAGGGCGGCTCGATCTCAAACTCCAGCTATGGTTTGGTGGGCGCCGGTTCCTTGTGCAAGACGCGGGCGCGGCTGTCGCCGACCGCTCCCTTGAGCTTCGTGGCTCCCCCTGGTCGCATTCCTGATAGCCCAAAGGATGGCAAGTGGTGCCTTTCCGAAACGGAGCTCCCTCTCAATGCGCGGCCCCACGGGGTACTCGTCTTTCAATGTCAAGTGCTTCGCGCAGTGGAGAAGAGTGCATGTGGAGACCCGCAAAGCGGGGACTTGGGATGGGAGGGTGTACTGCAGCATCGTTGGTGCATGTTGGGTTTACTCTGGTCATATTCTAGAGGCTTCGCGTAACCCCACCAGCCCATCCAGAAACGATGCTCAGGCGAGTTGCCCTGGTCAGGGATGTGGAGGAGCACGCAGTGGAATGAGGGTAGGGGAAGCCGTCATACTTTCAGAGGGGGAGGACGGAACAGGAATCGGAGGAGGAGGAGGAGGAGGAGGAGGGAGAGTAGAACGTCCAGAGGCCTCTTGGATACCTCTCGGAGTCTCTTCGGATGTCTGTTGAAAGCTTTTTTGAGTACATTTGGTGCGCCTTGGGGGCCTCTTGTTGGAGCCTTTTTGGGAGCCTTGGGGGCCATCTAGGAGGAGATTGATCAATGAATCAGGGGGGACTAAGTTGGCATTGTTCTTCCCCTTCAGGCCCAACTCGGCCCAACGCGAAGGAAATCAATGATTTGTGCCCTCTTGCCGAAGCCATCTTGGACTCCAGTGAGTCGCGACACCGCCCCATCCAGGTCCGGGGGGGGGGTATGGGGAGGGGTCAAGACTTCCTCCCCGCGCGCAAGCCGTCTCGCTCACTCCCACCCGCCCTCCAAACACATACGTAGCACCCGAGTCTGGCCCGAGCCTGAGCATATTCAGCAGTCGTCTTTGGATGGGCAGCTACTGGAGGCCAATCCGCCGCCGCCGCCGCCTCCGCCGCTGCCGCCGCCGCCGCCGCCGCCGCCGCCGGCGCTGCCCGCCGCCGCCGCCTGCCGTCGCCGCCGCCGCCGCCTCCGCCGCCGCTGCCGCCGCCCCCCGCTGCCAAACCGCCGCCGCCGCCGCAGCCGCTGCCGCCACCGCCACCGCCGCCGCCGCCGCCGCCGCCGCAGCCGCCGCAGCCGCCGCCGCCGTCGCCGCAGCCGCCGCAGCCGCCGCCGCCGCCAAGTGTATTATGTATTGTTTTTTGACAGGGATGGTGGGGGGGGGGGCCGCATCGGGTTGGCTGCGCATGTTCCGAATTTGGAGGCAGAGTGTGGTTTGCATTGCTTTTTACGAGGAATGGTGGTGGGGGGTTGTCATGGACCTTGGTTGGCCCCCAGTCGCCTGGGGGAGGGGGTGTTTATTAATAGGGAACAGTGATCAAAACACCTCCTGCTCACAAAGCGCAAGCCGTCTCGTTCACTCACATCAACACAAATAGCACCCGAATGTCCCTGTCCACAACCAATGCAAAGTGGTTGTTGGGCGCCCGCGCATGGTCAAGCTTTGGAAGTACAGTGCATATTGTATTGTAAGTTGACGGATTGTTGGTTTGTGCGCAGCAAACAATACGAAGGCAACCTCGCTGTCCCTGTCAACAGCAAAGCAAAGTGGTCGCGGGGCGCCCGCGCATGCTTCATATCTGGAGGCAATGTGTAGCTTATTTTGTTTCTGAAAAGGGATGGCTAGCCTGCGCGCAGCAAACAATACGAGGGCGCATGAGGGCGCCCCGCCGTCCCTGTCAAAAACCAATGCAATGTGGTCGCGGGGCGCCTGCGCATGCTCCAGGTTAAGATGCATAGTGCGTATTGCATGGTTATTGGACAGGAGTGGTTGGCTTGCGCGCAGCAGGCAATATGAGGGCGCCCCCGCCGTCCCTGCCAACAACCATGCAATGTGGTCGCGGGGCGCTCGCGCATGCTCCAGATTTGGAGGCAAAGTGTAGTTCGAACTGTTCCCAACCATCCTGTGGTGTTGGGTCCTCGTTTTGAATAGACGGTCCCCGCGTTCTCCTCCTTCTTTCTTTCCTTCCTTCCTCCTCCTCCCTCCTCTTTCCTCCCGCCTCCTCCTTGCGTTTTAACCTACCCAGTACAGCGTTTCGTGGCCCCAGAGGAAGCTCCACCGAAGGCCCCAGTGCCACTGCCCGCATGCGTTACACACCCATTTCGGCACACCCTTCACACGCTTCGTGGCCCCATAGGGAGTTCCACCGAAGGCCTCAGTGCCACCGCCCGCATGCGACACCCATACATATCGTCACTCCCCTCACACGTTTCGTTGCCCCGTAGGGAGCTCCACCGAAGGCCCCAGTGCCACCGCCCGCATGCGTCACCCACACCCATTTCGGCACACCCCTCAGACGCTTCGTGGCCCCATAGGGAGCTCCACCGAAGGCCCCAGTGCCACCTCCCGCATGCGTCACCCACGCCCATTCCGGCACACCACTCAGGCGTTTCGTGACCCCATAGAGAGCTCCACCGAAGGCGCCAGGGCCACAGCCCGCATGCGTCACACACACACACACACACCCCTTCGTCATACCCCTCACACGTTTCGTGGCCCCATAGGGAGCTCCACCGAAGGCCCCAGTGCCACAGCTCGCATGCGTCACCCACACCCATTTCGGCACACCCCTCACACGTTTCGTGGCCCCATAGGGAGGGAGCTCCACCGATGGCCCCAGTGCCACCGCCCGCATGCGTCACCCACGCACGTTGCGGCACACCTCTCACGCGTTTCGTTGCCCCACAGGGAGCTCCACCGAAGGCCCCAGTGGCTGCGTTCGCATGCGCCCACCGCACCTATTTCGGCACACCTCTCACGCGCTTCGTGGCCCCATAGGTAATTCCACGGACGGCCCAAGTGGCTGCTTTCGCATGCTGGCACACCCCTCACACGTTTCGTGGCCCTATAAGAAGCTCCTCCGAATGCGGTGCATACAACGAGGGTTTTCACATCTGCATATGGTTGGGTCCTTCGCCAAGCTAATTTTTGGCACGGGATGGTTGGCCTGCGCGCATCAAACAATATGAGGCCCCCCTCCCGTCCCGATCAGAAACAACTGCAATGTGGTCGCGGGGCGCCCACGCATGCTCCAGATTTGGAGGCAATGTGTATTTGTAATGCTTTTTGGCAGGGATGGTGGTGAGGGTGTCGGCATGGGTCCTGGTTGGCTGCCGGTCGCCTGGTGGGGGGTTGCAAATACGGAGCAATGTTAAACCCCTCCCCGACGGGGGAACAAGGGGGTTGGAAGAGGAAGCGTCCTAAACCACTCACGCCCTGAAGGGCTGGTGGGATTCCTTCTCCTCCTCTGCGCTCGTTTCCTCCTCATCCTCCTCCTCTTCCTCCTCCTCTTCCTCCTGCTCCTTCTCCTCCTCCTCCTCCTCCTCCTCCTCCTCCTCCTCCTCCTCCTGCTCCACCACCTCCACCTCCTCCTCCTCCACCTCCACTCTCCCCTCCTCCTCCTCTCCTCCTCCTCCTCCTCCTCCTCCTCCTCCTCCTCCTCCTCCTCCTCCTCCTCCTCCTCCTCTGGGTTCCTTTCCATTATGTGCTCGCCCGTGGGCCAGGATTACGACCGCACTGGGAAGGCGCCCGCGTGTCCCCCTGAGGGCACGGGGGGGGAGAGAAGGAGACAGGACAGGGATGCGGATACGCATGAGACCCATGCCAAGGAACACCCTGCTCGCCTCCAGGGTGCCGTGGGTTTCTGGGGGTTCGATGTTTTTTGCGATGGAGAGCGTGACGTTCCCGCACCAAAGATCGAGGGACGCCCTGGGGTCTCAGGGTTGAGCTTCTTGTGGAAGGTCTCTGGTGGTCGGGCCCCCACTGTACGCAGGGCTCGCTGCAGACATCGGCGGCGAGCGAGGGGGGAAGGTGATACGGAGAAGGCCTTCTCAGAAGGCGGCGGGACTTCTCAGGAGCGCTCTGGCCTTCGAGAAGTCTTCAGTGTCTTCGGGGAAGGCTTAGGAAACTGTTCAGAAGGCCAGGGGACTTCCGAGCCTTCTGAGAAGGCCCGCCCCTTCTCACTTCCCCCCCAGGCTCGCCGTCGAAGAAAGGGTTCGCCTTCGAGGAGTCGAAGGAATTGGTACTTCCCCTGCCCCGCGGAAAGCGGCGGAAAGCGAGCGGAAGTTGGCGGAAGCAAAACGGCGACGGGTTTGCGGAAGTTGGCTTCGCTCTCTTTGTCTCTCTTATCTGTCTTCTCTCTCTCTCTGTATCTCTGTCTCTATTTCTTTCACAAGCGAAGGGAAGGGTGGAGGATGTTGGAGATAACTGCTATCTCTCTCTCTCTCTCGTGCGCGCGCGCTCTCTCTCTCTCTCTCGATTTCTCTCTCTATCTCTCTCTCTCTCTCTCTCTCTCCCTCTCTCTCTCTCTCTCCCTCTGTCTCTCCCTCTCTCTCTCACACACACTTTCCATATCTCTCTTCCTTTTTCCGGATTCCTTTCTATACATCCCCACATCCTGAGCGGGGCTTTTGTTTTCCTAGAACCCCCTGACCTTCTCCGTCTCCTTCTCCTTCTCCTTCTCCCGCCTCCCTACCATACCATACGTACCATACCGTACCATACCTACCATACCAGACTTACCAATAACCATACCAATCCCATACCTACCATACCATACCTACCACATACCATACCTACCACATACCATACTACTACCATGCCTACCATACCATGCCAACCGTACCACACCACCTACCATACCATACCACACCTACAATACCAAAGCTAACATACCATACCTACCACTCCAGGGAAGCCACGTGGGAGCGAGGACAGTATCGGGATACCATACCATAACAAGGTTTCGTGCCCCCCGCCCCTCCAGGGAGGCCCCTCCTGAGCGAGGAGGGTATTCGAAAGACATGCCATTTATCAGGTTTCGTGCCCCTCCATCAGGTTTCGTGCCCCTCCCAACCGTCCAGGGAGGCACCGCCTGAGCGAGGAGGGTATTCGAAAGACATGCCATTTATCATGTTTCGTGCCCCTTCCCACACCTCCAGGGAGGCACCCCCTGAGCGAGGAGGGTATTCGAAAACCATGTTATTTATAAGGTTTCGTGCCCCTCCCACCTCTCCAGGGAGGCATCCCCAGAGCGAGGCGGGTATTCGAAAACCATGTTATTTACAGGTTTCGTGCCCCTTCCACCCCTCCAGGGAGACCTTGCCTGAGCGAGGAGGACATTCGAAAACCATGTTATTCATCAGGTTTCGTGCCCCTCCCAACCCTCCAGGGAGGCCCCGCCTGAGCGAGGAGGGTATTCGAAAACTTTGTTATTGATGAGGTTTCGTGGCCCTTCCCACTCCTCCAGGGAGGCCCCGCCTGAGCGAGGAGGGTATTCGCAAGCCATATACATATAACGGGGGACCAGGTCCGGGTCTTGGGGCCACGACCACGACCGCAAATGTGGGGCCAGGGCGTCGTTTTCCCGGTGTTTTTACGGGGGTTCGGCGACCCGGGGCCAACAGGGCCCCAAGAGGCTGCAGGGAGGCCCCAGGAGGCCGCAGCGATGGCTCCAGACGCCTTTCAAGACGACTCCCATGACGCCAAGAAGGCCCCGAAGACGCCTCGAGAGGCACCCCGAGAGAGGCCCAATAAGCAAAAATCGTCGATTCCCGATGGGGAAGTTATATGTTTGGCGCGTTTGCCTTTTGGGCGTCCACTGCGTCCAAGACGGCCCAAGCGGCACCGAAGCCGGTCGAGGATGCCCCGAAGAGGGCCCCAAGACGGCCCACGAGGGGGCCAAGACGGCCCACGAGGCGGTCAAACCGCCCAAGAATGCCCAAAGGCGGCGCCCAAGACGGGGACGAGGAACCGGAAATTCAGGTTTTTTGGCCCAAGAGACCCCCAGGAGACCCCAGGAGGCTCCAAGAAGGGGCCCAGAAGCCCCAAGAGGCCCCCCTGAGACCCGAAAAAACACCAACAGCGGCTTCGAAGACGCCCCAAGAGGCACCCCGAGAGTGGCCCAATAAGCAGGAGGAGGAGGAGGAGAAGGAGGAGGAGGAGGAGGGGGGAGGAGGAGAGGGGACGAGGAAAGAAGAACAGGTTTTTGTGTTCGTCCCGTGCTCAAGCTTAGTGCCGTGGACTGCCGCGCGCTGCCAACGCAAAACTCCTTTAATGTTTTCTGCGCAGTTTCGGTAAAACACTGCGCAGGGTGCTTCGCGCCATAGTACGCGATATTCGTACAGCATAGGATGAGTATGAAATATGTCGGTTCTTATATTAAGATACTGTTCTGATGTTTCTTAAGTTCAGAAAATTCTGACCACAGGGTAACATGTACGCAGATTGTATACAACTTTGCGCATCGCGGGGGAGCGTGAAGGCTCTCATCCAGCTGTCCAACGCCTTGAACGAGAAGGCCTCGGCACGCCCACGGGGGCGGCGGGGCGGACGTGGGACAGAAGCGAGCGGCAGGGGGGGACACGGGGCATGTTGGCGGCGAGGGGCGACAGAGGGGTAGGTAAGGGGGAAGAGGGGAGGTCGGGGGGATGGAGGCGCTGGGGACTGTGGTGAGCCTCGAGCTTCCATGTCCCGCCATTTCCCTCCTCCTCCCCCTCCTCCTCCTCTCCTCCTCCTCCTCCTCCTCCTCCTCCTCCTCCTCCCTCCTCCTCCTCCTCCTCCTCCTCCTGCTCCCTCCTCCTCCTCCTCCTCCTTTCCCTCCTCCTCCTCTTCCTCCTCCTCCTGCTCCTCCTCCTCCTCCTCCTCCTGCTCCTCCTCCTCCTCCTTCTCCTCCTCCTCTTTCTCCTCCTCCTCCTCTTCCTCCTCCTCCTCCTCTCTCAGCGCCAGCTGGCACGAGCACGGAGCCCGAGGTCAGCCAGCGCCACGGGCGCCGCTGGGGCGCCGCCACCCCCTTCCTTCGAGCAGAGCAGAGCATTTCTTTCGGAGTCAGGCTAGCTCGACTTTCCGCTCGGAGGGGCGACATTGGGGCAAGGGGGAAGAGGGGAGGTCGGGGGAGGGAAGCGCCGGGGACGGCGGTGGACCTCGAGCTTCCATTTCCATTTCCCTCCCCCTCCTCCTTTCGCTCCCCGGCATTTCTTTCTCCCTCCTCCTCTCCCTTCTTCTCTCCCTCCTCCTCCTCCTCCTCCTCCTCCTCCTCCTCCTGTTCTGTTCATACTCCCGATGAGGATGATCCGCGGTGGACGACATGCAACGGTGAGACGGAGAGACGGGCGGCCGCCGACTGAAAGAGAGAGAACGACGACCACGACCATGACGGGAGGGAGGGAGGGGAGAGGAGGGCGCCACCCCACTAAACCAACGCTCCCGCCACCCCTGTACGGGCGGCCACCCCCGACCACGACTCACGGTACGGATCGGGGGGGGGGCGAGCATGGAGAGAAGGTGGGGGGCGCCGGCCTCCGTGTAGGCGAAGGTGTCGGATGGGCCCGCTCCCGCGGGTTGAAGTCCGACCAGCACAGCCTGGGCGACGGTCCTATTGAGGCCTGTGGGCGCCAGGAGGTCTAGGGGCCCTTCGGGGAACTGGTGGGCGCCGTGGAAACATCTACGATGCCTGAAATTCTCCCCCATGCCTGATAAATTAATGGTGATGGCCGTAGTCGGCATCTCGGTGACAGCTCCAAAAAACGCACAGATCGAAGCTAAATGAGTCAGCCTCAGGGAGGGTGCTCAAAAATCTGACCTCTGGGATGCCGAAGCACGAGGCCAGATGCGCCTCCCTGGGAGCCTCGGGAAAGAGGAAAACGAACTTAGCGCCCACAGCCGCGCACGCCACAGCACATCTAACCGTCGTTCTCAAAATCTCGTTGTCTAGGTCCAACAGGTCCCATTCAGGACCTGTCCTAGTGGGCATACCCCACGGCCATTCGGATGATCTCATGACTCTAGGAAATAGCTTCTTGTGTAATTGTGGCCTGCAGCGTGCCCTACTGAAGGTTTCGCACGGCGGCCCTGATATGACAGCCCAAACTCGACCTGCGAGTATCATCTCGACCATGGTCTTCACCTCTGGTCTCGTGATTGAGCTGTCTTCTTTGGCCCCTAAGCTGAGCACGAGTATCCTGAGACTTTTTTCCTCGGCAATCCTGTCTATGGCAGCTTGCAGATCATTTGGCCTTCTTCGGCCGACCCCTATCAGCAAAATGTAAAAATGCTGCCCTGACGGAGGCGGGACAGGAATGGGATTTGGCGGCGGCAGGTCCGCAGTCCTGAAGTCCGCTGCCGCTCTCGCCACTGGTGTTAGCTTTTGCCAGCGCTCACTGCACGCACCTTTGAGTCCAGGCCCTATGCGCCTAAGCACTTTTTTCTCCGCCTGCTCTGCCTACAGCCCTCTGGAGGCAAGCTCAGAAGCACACTCCACGTTAAGGTCACGCTGCTTCTGAATTTGCTCCTGGGTGAGGGGCCTAAGCGCCACGACAAGGTTGGGCAAGCATGCTTTGGACCCGTGTCTTAAATGCTTCAGCAGCCGTAAATTGGTAAAGAATTCTTTATTGCATGACTGGCAAACACTACCTAGGGCGACAGTCCTGGCAAGGTCCACTTCGGGGTGGTGCTTGGCCCTATGGCCCAGGCGTGGGGGGTAATACATGTGGCATCACACTCAGGGCACACATAAATCACGTCAGGATCGTCTAGTCCACAAGTGTGGGGAGGGGGGACCTGGGTCGCCGCGCTCAGGGCCCTGCTATACCTACGCCACAACGTCAAACGGGAAAGGTCGAGCTCCGCCCTCGTAGCTCCAATTTCGACCGTTTTCAGCATCCTCTTCCAAATCTTGGGCTCTCTATACGCAAGGTCAATCCACCACTTCTTATCACCAGGAGGAGAGAGGGAACTGGGCAGAGAGACACGCTGGGGAAGCCAATCAAGGTCCTGGGACAGCAGGGAGGCCAATGTGCCTTCTTTACTCGAGAGCAAATCTAACATGCCGAGCATGGCCTTAGCTCCGTTTCTGAGGACCCTGAGGAGGAACCTTAGCCTCCGAAGGCGCAAAACCAGGAGCAGGGACGGCTTTTGGGCCTGCACAAGGACCTCTTCGCGGGACGCTTTGGGCTCGGGAGGCCTTGGGAGGTCGGGTTTGAGCGCAGCTCGGAAGGCGTCAAGGTATTTTCCTTCGGCTCGGGCAACTGTCTTGACTGGCAGCGTCCACAATACTGCCTGGCACAAAAAACGCGAACAGCACAAGGCAACTGCGTACTTGATCTTGGTCTGCTTCGGCAGGTCGTGCAATCCGAAAACAGTTCTCCTGAGCGGTCCCAGGACCGCGGCTTGGTCATGGCCGCGCAGGTGGATTTCTGGGCACCAGGACCCTCCTCGGTGGAGCATGGACCCCAAGTACTTGTAGCTTTCAGCCTTGTGCAGCTTTATCCCGTAAGCTCCTAACTGCAACGTTCCAGTCTCCTCGTACTCAATGCGAGCAGCAGTGGATCCTTCTCCCGAGAAAACAATCATGATCTCGGTTTTTCCTTTATCGTAGTTGGGGGTAAACCCCACTCTAACCAGTTCTTCGTGAACCCCACTCCAACCAGTTCTTCGTGCACAATCGTGGCCATCTGTTGGGCCGCTGGCTTCTACTCAGGGGTGGAAGGGGGGGTGGCGACGGTAAGGAGATCGTCCATGAACGCTGCTCCCTGGAGTTCTTCACTGTCTGGGGCCCCATACTCCCATCTAGCAAAACAGTGCTCGCACAGTACTGAGGCTTCATCTAGCATGTCTTGCACTGGGACCAGCAGGCCTTTCTGCTTAAGCCGCTGGTGCACCTTAGCATGAGCAGGGGCAAATGCGGCGATAAACAGTATGTCTCCGAGCGGCATGCCAGCTCGGGTGCCTGTCTCGGGGAGCGCTAAGCTCGTGGCAAGCTTAACTCCGAACCGCGTCGCTCCCGCTGCCTCGGACACCATGCGGGCGAGCTGAGGGTGAGCCTTGTAGGTGAGAAGGGCCGGTTGCCTGAGCAGGGCTTGAAACGATGGAACTAGCGTGAGCGGAATCTGGAGCCTGTCGACAACCTCTTCCTCGTCGAGAGGATCGCTGTCCACGACAAATTGCCGAAGGACTCTGTAAAGAGCATCTTTGAGGTCAGAAAACACAAGGATGGCGGTTCTTCCTTGGGCCTTGAGAAGCTCAAGGGCAGTTCTGGTGGCCAGTGAGGCCAAGTCGGCCCCACTCCCAGGCAGACCCCCCATTTGGTTGGGCCCCGCGAGGTCCTCGACAACCTTGGCGACGAGCGTCCTCAGAAACGAGTGGTGGTGCTTGGCCACCACTTCTCCTAGGAGGATTTCTCTGTAGTTCTTGAAAAAACACAGGGGGGGGGGGCTTTTTGGGATCAGGGACCGCCCAGCCGCCCTTCCAAGACATTGGTTCGGCACCCTGGACCGTAACTTTCATGAACAGGGGGCGCAGTAGGTCGGCCATCTCTGGCGCAGCGACCTTCAACAGCTCGTGTCTAACTCCTGTCGGCCCTGGCTGCTTCCCCATCTTGGCCTTCATGAAGCTCTCCTGCAGCCTATCCTTGGGCTCCACAAATTGTATAGGGAACTTGACTAAACCTGGGGCTTTGTCCCACATGGCTTTGCAGTGGGTGTTGTACTCATGTGCAAGCTGGTCTGGCTGGAGGGTCTCCCCCGCCTCCATCTCCGAAAACCTTATCAAAAACCTGTCGGCAATGGCTTCGGCGCTCTGGAAAACCTCGCCATCCTCCTCTTTCATCATGGGAAGGTGGGCCTTGGGGTATTTCGACTTGGCTCCCCCCCATGCGGGCGATGGTCTTCTGATGGGCCCACTCCTGTTTGGCGGATCCAGCGGTGAGCGACGAGGAGAGGAGCCCCCCCATTTGCTGTAGGAGCTCAGTTTTGGCAGACACAATGAAATTCTTGACCACTTTGTGGGTCATGCGGATGAACATGGCTGCTGCGTCCGCCAACTTGTTGGCCGAAAACTCGCTGGCAGTCAGCTTGAGGGCTTGTCGCATGATGGGCATGAACAAAGCCTGCGCATCATCTGGAACTCCCTCCAGCATGGGGGGCGGCGTAGCACAACACTGCTGTGCGAGGTCCAGGATACCTGTCGCGTCCATTCGCCTATGCGCTCTCAGTATCGTTCTTATTCTTCGCCTGAGTCTGATAAGGTTAAGGGTGCCCTGCTTGACGCATGGTTTGTAGGGCGGGGGAAGGGGGTCGGGGGGGGGGAACACTTCTGCAGCAGCCTCCAAGACTCTTTGTTCGAGAACCCTGGCGTGCCCATTCACCCCCACTTCCCACCTGACGGGCTCCATGGACGCAACTCTGGCCCTAAAAACTTCGCAACACTCGGAGTTCGTGATCTTGCGATACTCGTATCGCTGCTGGTTTCTCACTGTCGTCTGGACAGCTGGTCTCTTGACATGTACCACGACAGGAAAATGGTCAGGCTTTGCATGCTGGTCATCTATCGTGTACCATACGTAGGTGTTGACTGACACAGCTGCGAAATCCCCGTCCGCACAAACGTAGTCGATCCTATGTGGGGCCCCAGAGTTGGAAACCCATGTGTGGCCCTCCGAGGCTTGGGGGAGCACTGTATTAAGGGAGACCATCTTAGTCGCCAGCAAGTGAGCGTGTAGATATTCCCCTCCGTCGTCTTCCTCTTGGCAAAACCCCTGTCTTCCCACACTCTCGGAGACCAGGGGCCCTAATCTAGCGTTGGCGTCGCACATGGTGACGGAGACTTGAAACTTGACGATGAGCTCGCCTGTGTCTCTCCACCATGCAGCTCTGTCTTCCTTGGTAGCAAATGTAGTGCTACGGGGTCCGTGCAGCACTGCAACTCGCACCTGAAAGTGGGCGGCCTTGATGTTGGCAGTCTCCTAGGGTCGGCGCGGAGGATGTGGACGTTTTTCCTGGCGAGGAACAAATCAAGGCCCCCTTTGACCCCGTATGGCACGTCCTGGGCGACCCAAAGCTCGCATCCTAAGTTACCTCGGGCGTCCCCTGAGGAAAAAACTTCGCATCCTTCGGCGCTCCTGGCTCCCTGGGGACGTCTGGCCTCCTGGACCCCAACGAGCAAAATCTTGGCTTCCCTGAACTGGAGCCTGAGATGTGGCCCGTGGGCTCTAGCCCTCCTGTGGGCCAGGGGGCGGGGGGGGCTTCTTGGCGAGTCTCCTCTGGGGCTTTGGCAGGAGAGCACCTTGCTCTCTGTCAGTGGCCGAAGCGCGTTAAACGATGCCACCTTAAACTCGATGTCAACTGATGTGGTGGCCGTCTTCACCACCACGGGCTTGTGCACGCGCTCCTCGCCCGCTTCCTGCTGCGCAAGGGGCCCCCTGAAGTCCCCTTGGATAAGGGGGGGGACTGGGCACGTAACCTGTCGGGGAGACGGTGTATCCAGTCCCAGTCCATTCCTTGTTTAAACGTCAGGCCCCCAAGGACCTCGCCGGGAACCTCTAGGCTCACCGCCGAATCGGTTTTGCAGAGCGAGTCGGAGCATTCGTTCCATGGGTTTCCTACGTGGGAACGGACGTGAAACAAAGGAGATGTCTGCTTTGTTCCTCGCCAATCTTAAAGCGTGCCTGGCCAACTTTACATGCTGGCCGTCAACCCCCACGGCCACAACTTGTACTTGCGCCAAGGTAAATGATGTGGTACTGTCAACTAAAAACGACACCTGGGGTCTATGGTTGAAATCTAGAATTGGGTGCCCGTTTTCCCCTGGGGGCCCCGCCAAAATCCACAGCAACCCCCAGTAGATACCGAGTATCTCAAACGTTGTGCTGGAAACCCTGGTCAAATCTATACCCCCTGGTGTCGTCTTGGCCGCCTGTCCCCGCAGGTAGCCGCAGAGGTGCACCTTGGTTTGACCGTCGGTGCTGTCGGTGGATCTGGCAACTACGGTCGCGGCCCAACTCGGCTGGGTCGTCTGGCTGCCACGAGCCGTCGGAATCGATCTCGATGGTTGTGCGTGGCGTCTGCGGCGGCTCGGCCTGGCGGCGGAATGGGGATCATTAAGGGGAACCTGACGAGAAAGACGGACATGTGGGCCAAGCGAAGAGATAACCCGCGTGAAGTCACCCCAACTGTCACACGGAATGCAAAACTGCTTGGGCACATTTGGTGGGTTCTCGTCTTGAGTAAGTACGGGCCCTCGGCTCTGAACGGGCTGAGGGTCCCCAGGTCCGCGAGGGAGAGGTGGGGAGGTGGACTGATCCTCGTCAAAATTGAGCAGGGCGGCCAGGGAAAAGGATGACTGGGCGCCTGCGAAGGACTGGTACCAGGGCGGGGGCGCGGGAGGCGTTGAGCGGAGGAGGGGAGATACTGACAGGGATAGAGGCATTAAAGAGCCTCCTCCTTTGCGTGCCCCAACTCACGCGCCGCCCTCTCTGGCCATCGTCTCTGCCTGTTGGTCCTCGTCCATGATGTGCACTATCTCGTCGTCTCCCCTCTGCATCTTCCTGGCCGGGCTGTCTCCAGACTTCACGGCCTCGGACGCTGTCCTGGGGGGCGCTGAATCTGCTTCCCCGAACTTGTCCTGGTAGCCTGCGATGGACCTCGGTGGGCCTGGAAGAGCTTCGATCTCCTTGACCTCCTGGGTCGGCGAGATGGGAGTGAGCGTGCCCTCGAATGGGATCTGCTCTTGCTGCGACTCCTCGAAGGCCTGGGCGAGGCTCGTCGGGGCGATGGTGAGCGGGCCCATGCGAAACCCCACGTCCCCCTGTTGTGTGGCCGTGGCATGAACGTCCATCCCTGGCGTCGATGCCTCTGTGCTCGCTGTCGGCGAAGGCGGTGCTGGCATGCGTTCTGCTGTCATCTTCTGCCTGTTCAGATCGCTGATCGCCGTGGTCAGACCGACTATGTATTGCTGCATCTGCTGCATCTGGTTGTTCATGGCTGTGAACTGCTGCTTGTTGTTTTCCATCTGCTGGATGACTCCGTTGAGCTGGGAAGCCTGTTCTGCCGTGATGCCTCCAACGACTGGTCCCTGCGGCGCTGGTTGTTGTCCTCCATACGCTGGTACTGTAACCTGAGCACCCTTGCCGTGACCCTTGGCATTCATGGCATTGAGGCAATGCTGGGGTACCACTGGCACCATGAGGTGTTGCGGGATGACGGGCATTTGAGCCTGCTGCGGCTGCTGCTGCGGCCATGCACGCCACGGCGGCCCAGCCTGCCCATGAGGAGGGGCCGCTGGGGCGGTATGCCTTGGCCCCGCTGCTGCCACGCTGCCTGCTGGAGGCGCGGGCGGCGGTGGCGGGCCTGGCTGCTGCGCCTGCATGGCCTCGTCCGTCTGTTCTGCCTCCTCCTGAACTAGCTGCTCGATCTGGGCTTTGAGCTCGTCGATCTCGGCTGCAACTGAGGTCTCTTCCTCCGCCAGCTTCGTCTGGTCGTGCTTGATCTTGCGGAACCTGTCGTCTAAGCGCGACTTCCTGTTCCTCATGTCCGCTATATGCTGGGCAATCGGCTAGAGCGCGACGAGGGCGGCCTTCCACATCGATATCTCGTAGCGCGCCTCTGCGTCGTCCATGCCTGCCGCCCTGGCTGCGATGGCGGACAGTGCGAGGGACTCCATCTTCATCCTGGCCTTGGCACGGTACGCGGCGACCTTGGACTCGTCGAGCGGCGGCGGGTCCCAGGTCAGGCTGGCCTCGGCTTCCTGCAGGGGAATGGGCCGTACGGTCGCAATCATCTTGTTGACTGTTGCCTTGGACGGCTGATGATGTGCCTGATCCTGCCATGGCGTTTCGTTTGCGCCCACACTCCTCGGCCTTCTTGCCCAGACCATCTGCATGCGCTGACTGAAGTGGGTGCCACACTTGCAATTCCACTTTGTGACTGGCACCTTCTCTCCACACGGGCATCTCCATCCTGATATCTGGCTCGACATCTTCTTGCTGTGCGGGACACCTTGTCGGCTGTGGCGTGCGCTCAACACTTGCTTGGCGCTGGCCAAGCGAAGAAGGGTACGGTACCAGGATCTGTGGGAGCGTAATCTTCTATGCCAAGCTGGTTCCGCTGGCCTGGAGCCGCGGAAGAATGTCGTGGCCGGGGTTACGGTGTCCCCGACACACCTGGGGTTGGGCCGGCTCTGCCCTCCGCCTGCCCCCTGCGGGCAAATGGCAGCCTCGGCCAAACGCCTCTCCTCCTCCTCCTTCTCCTCCTTCTCTCCCACCCTTTCTCCCTCCTCCTCTCCCTCGTTCTCCTTCCTCCCCTCCCTCCTCCTCCCCCTTCCTTCCTCCTCTCCCTCTCCGGTTTTGAGCAGAGCATCTCTTCCTGAGTCTGGCTAGCTCGGCTTTCTGCTTTCAGTGTTGCGGGTGTCGCAAGGGGCGGTGGTGGACTAGGCAGAGGACTGAAGGGGAGCGCGGGCCAGGGAGAGCAATGCACGGAGAGCTCGGAGAGTTAAACACTTGGAGGGGGCTCGTGACCATGGTGGCTACCACGCCATAAGGGAGCTCATGATGGTCCCAGTGCCAAAAAGAAGTATTCATTTTGATGCGCCTGCAAACGTGAGTATGCTTCCTGGGGGGCAATGCACTACCACCACCATGACCATGACTCGTAATCGTGCTGCTGCTACGTCCATGGCGACCTCTAAAACGACTGTGATGACCCTTACCCCCTACTAATGCTGGTACTCGTATCTTTGTTCATCCCGTCCTGTCGCCGGCGCGATTGCGAGTGTCATCCACATTGAACATAGATCACAGTCCTGACTGATGAAGCTTCCTTTCATCACCATAGCTATCAGTGGCGATGCTTACAGTTTATGGTTCCCGTAGTCTGTCACGCTCTCTTACGCTATCTCAGTATGCACGTGTTTCGCGATTCGGCTCTGGTGCTGCCCCTTTCTCTTGCTGTGACGCTTCTCCGCTACGTTTCTCCAACCGTTGTCCATGCCCTAACTCCTATCTTTCGCAGCTCCTGCCCATCCTCACACGTCTTTGTTCGTAACCGCCCGCGCCCTCACCCGAGCCGGGTGTTGGCAGCCTGGGGGGCTCCGCACCTTCAGGAGGTCATTGGCATGCGGGCTGCTCCGTGGTTGCATCCGTCCTTTTGCTTATCGTCTCCCTCATCATGCTCTTCGGCTTCTTCTTCGTCTTCTTCGTATTATGATTATTATGATTCCTCTTCTTCTTCGTCTTCTTTGTGCAAGCGTTGCGAAGTGTCACGGCTCGTGAGAGCTGATCCGTACCAGCCCGACCAGGTGAATTCTCCAAAGCCGCGTCATGCTTCGTGCTCCTTTTCTTCCTCCCCAGCCCCAGTCTTTCACTTTCATTTCCCCCCACTTGCCTGCCCAGCTTGAAGCCCCGCCTGCTCCGAGCCCCCATGGATATTCCCGAGCGCGGCCAGCCAGGCTGGCAGCATCGAGCATCCACGCTTTGGGCCAAGCCCCCTCCCCGTCCACTCCCTTCCCCAATCCTTCCTCCCGTCCTTCTCCGCTTTTTCCCCCCGCACCTCCCTCTTCCCACCGGGCTCCGACGCATGTATTGTCGTCCACGCGTGCCACTGAGGCCACGGCCTCACCCACCTGGTCTTGGCGTGGCCCAGACGGTTGTCCGAAGAGGTAGTCGTTCGTTCATTCCTCTCCTTTCCTTTCCCTCCACACCTCCCTCACACCCTTCCGCCCCTCGCTCCCCACCCAGCAGGTGTGGTCCCATCCGGGGAAACTCGTGAACGGAGTCCCAGCAAGACTCGTCGCAAGTATTTGCAGAGCAGCGGTGTTGGTCTTTGGCCTAAGGTCTTATCGTTGTCGGAGCGACGAACCAGAGGCCTTGCACCACTTTAACTAAAATTCTCGCTCTGCGAGCTCACCATTCCCAAATCCATGTCCAACTTCATTTCGCGCCCCACCCCCGCGCGAGCCGCCGCTCCAGGAGCGCATCCCGGTCAAGGTGAAGTCCATCGTCTCTGCCTTTCTCGGCATGATCACCGCCGGCAAGGGGGGCGTTGGCGGAAGCCAGAGCCCGGTGGATTATCAGGCGCCAGGGGAGAGCGCCAGAGGAGGAGGAGGAGGAGGAGGAGGAGGAGGAAGAGGAGGAGGACACTCAATGTCCATCCTCTCGCCCGAGGAGGAAGCCAGAGCCCCATGGTTTATCATGCGCCAGGCCAGAGGAGGAGGAGGAGGAGGAGGAGGAGGAGGAGGAGGACTGGGAGGACGCTCGATTCCCATCCTCTCGTCGCCCGAGGAAGGAGATCAGGATGAAGACGCGGGAGAAAAATTGCAACTGTCTTTCCTTGCGCTCCACCAGACAAGCAATCACACGTAGGAGGAAGATCAGGAGACAGAGAAGGAGCGTCATCCTGAACATTGAAGAACCTGTCCCTCCGATGGCAGTGCGCGCTTGGGCCTTAAGGCTTAGACGCTGAACGTGCATGGGCGCCGCAGGCCAAGCGTCCAGCGAGCCCAGGTGCACGTGAGCAGAGCGAGGCATTGTTCCAGGGGGGGGGGGGCCAAACGGTGTGCTGACCACAACCGCGCGGTGACTGATCGCGCGGTGAGGTCGCTGGGGATTCCGATGTCACCACGCGGTCCGTCACCACACGGTTCTGGGGCCCCGAGACTGCTGCGGCCGAGTCCGCCAGGAGGCGCGCCCACGCGACCGTCGCTTGCAGCTTGAGCTGGGGGGGCCCTCCGCTCTCCAGGCCGACGGGGGCCGCACGCTGGCAGCAACCGTTGGCCGAGACCGGCGACGGTGGCCGCAACGCAGCGTCTGCGGGAGAGCACCTCGGCAACAGCCCAAATCTGGGGGGGGGGCGGCCCTAGGCCCTGGCACATGGGAGCGAAGCACCAGCCGACTCGCATCGGCACAGAGCTGAGAGACATGCTGCTTGCCAGGCTGCACACCCTTGACAGGCAGCTCCGCGTTGATCCAGAGGGCCACGCCATCTGATCTGTTGTCAGCACACTTAGATTAGAACATCATGTGATGCCCGACACCTTCCTGGGCATAGCAGACTGGAGCCTAGCTCCAAGACCCCAGGAGATAATACCGAGCGGCCGAAAGCTGCTTGGCAGGAAGGGTGATGCGCCCCGGGGCATTGAGGCCAATAATGTTCATGAGTTTGGCAGAGATGTGGAAGCCTCTGGAGCCCTTCTTATATTTGCTGGCACCCCGGAGAGCAAGAACAATGGCCGCACCAAACTAAGGGTTGTGAGCGTCCTGGGAGTGGGCAATGTCTGCGATGCTCTGGGCGCCGATGACATCCTCGACCTGGCACCCCTCCGACGACGCCCCCGTGACCCTTGAGGCGGTAGCTTCTCTGATGCACGGCAGGCCCTCGGAGCGCTCCGCACGCAGCCGCGCCCGCGCCAGAGCCGAGGAATCGAAACATGCAGAGAGGCAAAGGGCAGGTGCTTCATGCTGGGCATCAGGCCCGTGCCAGTCAGGCGAGCAATAGTGCCAGCCAGTGCACTGTATCCTTCACCCTGGTGGCTGCGGACATTCTCCCCCACTTCACTGGTACAAGTGGCAGACAGAAACTGCACCATAGACGGGAGAAGCATGAACTCTGAATTAGCAACCTCAAAGTTCTGAGACCCCATCAAAAGCCCCAGAGTCGTCAGATAATCCAGGCGAAGCACAACAGGGATGGTGCCAATCTCCTCTTGAGCAATCCATGCCAAGGCCCAGGCAGCAGCGATAATCTCAGCCGTGTCAGAGGGGTAGGAGGAGGGGAAGTGATCCATAACATCCTCAGAGGCCACATCAGAGATGGCATGTTTTGAAATAACGGGTGCCGTCGAAGTACTCATAAACGATCACGACCGCAGATGCAGGACCGAACGAAATGTCAGAGTGTTCAGCCCCACCATTTCCATCAGTATAGACCAGAACACGAGTGGGAGGAAGGAGGGGGAGGTATGGCGCATGCTACTGCAGCACCTCGGAGGTAGCTGGGTGGAAGTATTCAGCAGGGGCACGCCCACGCAGCTGAGGAACTTGAACAGGCCATGGCTGCCGAATCTGCTCGACAGCCGCTTGGACAGGAAGGGCACTAAAGTCACGCGTGTCGGCAAGCGGCCGCTGGTCGGAGGGGGTCGCCTCAGAGCCGCGCAGATCAGCTGGGCCCCCACGACGAGCAGCGGCCCGCTGGCTGTTCCCCGAGTCGATCGCTCGGGGCGCACCTCCGCGATGGCGACCTGCGTCCACGCGGGGGCTGGCTGGGCTCTCGACGGTGTCGGCTCGCTGCACGGCTGTCAGGCGATCGCAAACATGGATCAAGCCTTTGGAAACAAACATGGTGGAAAACACACATTTGGAAACACACACACGTACACACATTTGGAAACAAAAACACACATTGCGTTTTTGTTCCACAGTGTGTGTTCGTTGTTTTCCGTGTGTTTGTTTCTACAGTGTGTGTGTGTGTTGTGTGTGTGTTGTCCATTGTTTCATTTTTCCACGGGGGCGTGGATTAGCGACGGGTCCCGTTTCAATGGGGAATCGCGGATTTCCGCCGCCGAGCGAGGCGGCACCGGCCGCACTTTGGGGAGGGCACCTCCCCTGATCCATGGACTTGGGCGACCGCGCGCCGAATCCATGGATCGTTGATGCATGTTTGTGCGCCCCCGAGACTGGGCTCGCGCCTGGGCGAGCGGCTCTGGGTGCCCCCCACGGCTCGCCCGCGGGCCTCAACATCGGCGCCCTCTGCAGCAGCAGTCGTTACGTTGGGCTGTCGTGCGCCACTTCGGCGCGGGCTGCAGCTGGGGCCGCCGTGGGCGCGGCATCTTGCGCCTTGTGGGGACGGCGCTCGGCCCTCTCGCGGGCCTCCTCCTGCTTGCCAAGTTGGGCCTTCAAGCCTCTCGCACTGAACAGCATGGCCAGCGTTGTAGCAAACTCCAACACGGCATCGTCGTAGTTCTCGCCAGCATCGCATCTGCCCAGGATGACCGTGCCCAAGGCTTCCAAGCGTGCAGAGACCTGCTCCTTGTAGGCCTCTAACTCCGCCTCGGATGCCTGAGTCCCAGGCGGCGCTCTTCACCGCGGGTTGTCCTTGGCCGAGCGGTACTCGTCGCCAGCGGACATCATCGTCAGGTCGGACGCCTCCTTCGTCGCCTTGTCCTTGGCTGGTGAGCTTTCTGACGTCGGCCTATCTCGCAGGGCCAGTGCAGCCTTCTCCTTGCCAGCTGCCTTGTCCTTGCCCTTGCCACTGGCGTCATCCTGCGACGGAGGTGCACTGCCAGAGCGTCGAGGAGGCTTGCGCCAGGGAGGTTTCTCTGGTTTGGGCGAGCCACATTGGCGGCAGTCCACACACTCGGTCGTGCCAGTTCTTGCAAGAGCAGACTCCTCAGGACCACGGCGGCCCAGCAGGAGCCCACGAGACGGCGGATTTGGTCATGATGTGTTGTCGCACTCGCGGTTGTCGACTGAGATGCCGTTGTAGCAATCGTCGAGCCGCCTCCAAGCGGAAGATGACGCGAGCGCGGGCAGGGTCCGCTCTGGCCCTCCGATGCCACGCAGGCTCGTGAGCCCGGCCCGCGTGGCGGGGGCCGACACGGCCGCGACGCAGCATTATGGCGGGCTGCTGGCGGGCGGCGCGTTGCAGCTATCCCGCAGATGAGGGGCCGCTACCTGGTAGCACCCAGGCCCCTCGAGCCGGGACGGCGGCTGGACGCGGAGGAGGGGGGAGGAGGAGGAGGAGGAGGAACAGCAGGAGGAGGAGGAGGAGGAGGAGGAGGAGGAGGAGGAGTGGGAGGAGGAGGAGGAGGAGGAGGAGGAGGAGGAGGAAGAGGAGGAAGAGGAGGAGGAGGAGGAGAAGGAGGAGGGTGGCGTGGTCGCTGCATAAGGGAAACAAGTCCCAAGCAGACAACCATGCACGACGACGACGACGACGGCCACGACGATGACGACGACGACGGAGGCGAATCGCGCGAATGATCCGCTCCGAAGCACGGGTTTAGGAAAGGGCCCACCCCAAGGATTGGCACACAGCACATCGTTGAGCGGTGTTGCGGCCTCTCCCGTGCACAGGCCCCCTCTCTCCCCCCAGGAGCAGCAGCCAGACGGTTCGGGTTTACACCCTCATGCCTTGCTGGGCCCCGGAGCGCGTTTCGGCATCCTGTCCCCCAACTTCGTCAGGGCCCCCGACAAGGGAGAGGACGGCGGTGGCCGACACGTCCCAGAGCGTCCCAGAGGAGGAGGAGGAGGAGGAGGAGGAGGAGGAGGAGGAGGAGGAGGAGGAGGAGGAGGAGGAGGAGTAGGAGGAGAAAAGAGGAGCAGGAGGAGCAGGAGGAGGAGGAGGAGGACCAGCCGCGCCGCCCCGCCGAGCCCCGCCGAAGCGGCGGGGATCGATGCCCCCTGCCGCAGGCCCCCGAGGCCAACGCGTACGAATCGCAGCGGCCTCCGCCTGGCGCCGCCAGGGAAGGTCGGCGCCTCGTCCTCGTCCTCGTCCGCGTCCTCGTCATCCTCCTTGTCCTCACCGTCGTCCCCGTCCTCGCCGTCGTCGGAGGACCTGCTTCCCTTTTGCTGAAGCGTCCGTTGCCGGCTTGAGGCCCTCCAGCCTGGGCTGCGCAGCCGATCCACGCGTTCCTCCTCCTGCGGGGGAGGGAAAGGAGGAGCAGGAGAAGGAACAGGAGGAGGAGGAGGAGGAGGAGGAGGAGGAGGAGGAGCACGAGCAGGAGGAGGAAGAGCAAGAGCAGAAGTAGCAGAGGACGGTGGGCTTCAGGGCTTCAAGGCTCGATGCTTCGAGCGGTCGAGGCCTCGAGGTTTCGAGGATCGAGAATTCCAGGTGTCGAGCCGTCGAGGATCCGCGATGCGAGGATCGAGGCTTCGAGGATCGAGGCGGCTACGCGTGGGAGCGACCCCCCCGATGCGGCCCCTCACCGGAGTGACCTCGGGTGGCCGGCCGTCGGTTGGGGGGGCGCGGGCAACGGTACGAAGGTTGGTGGCAGGTTGCCGGCTTCGGCGGTGTTCGGGTGGCTGAAGGGCTTTCGTCGGAGAAGAACAAGCGGCAGAACCATAAGCTTTTGTCTCTCCGCGCGAATTTCTTGGATCCGCGCTGCCCCCCCCCCCCCGGGGGCGTGCGCGGCGCCGCCCCTGGCGCGCTCCGCGCGCCAGGGAGGGGGGTCAAGCGCAGATCCAAGAAATCCGAGCAGAGCGCCAACAGTTTATGTTTATGCTGTTTGTTTTTCTTCTACTTCGGAGCCACAGCCCTGTCGGTGGTTCAAAGATGGGGTCCTGAGGAGTGGAGTCCTGAGGACGAGGTGCCTCAGACAGTGTAAATGCACCCTCGGAGCCCTTCCCATTCTTAGGACCCCATCCCCAAGGACCCCTATCCCAAAGGTTCCCATGCTCGCAGGTGGGGGGGCCAGATCCAAGCATGCGCACCGCTGCTGAACAGCATCGCCAGCGACGATCGGCGAGCTGCGCGCCCGGGGTCACTGAGGGCAGAAACACGGGGACCCTGGCCAAGATGTCGCTGAGGAGGAGGAGGCGAAGGAGGAGGAGGAGGAACAGCAGGAGGAGGAGGAGGAGGAGGAGGCGGACGAGAAGGAGGAGGGGGAGCAGAAGAAGGGGGAGGAGGAGGAGGAGGAGGAGGAGGAGGAGGAGGAGGAGGAGGAGGAGGAGGAGGAGGAGGAGGGTACTGAGGGTACTGACTACGCGGGAGGGATCACTCCGCCCCTCGCGACACGCGCGCGGGCGCCGCCCCCGCCCCAGGAAGGGGTCGCAACCTCATCCTGGCACCACGGGGGGACGGCACGGGCCCAAGGGCCCAGAAAGCAGGAGCAGGGAGGGGACCACCGAGCCTGGCAAGGTTGCAACCCCCCCGAGGCCCTCAGGCCTTCGGGCCGACACAGGCAAGCCTGTGCCGACCTGCACCTTGTTGAAAAACACCGAAAGGAACGCGAACCACTCGACTTCGAAGGTGTTCCAGCTT